TTGATGTCTAGTTTCTTGAGTTCTTTATATATTGTGGAGATCAATCCTCTGTCAGATGTGGGGTTGGTGAAGCTGATGCCCATTTTATCATACCATTAATTTGGATTTTTCTTTCTCTGTTGGTTCCATCTCTTTCATTTATCATATATGTGTTAGTTTGCCTTCTTCTTGCTGTGCTAAGAGACTGTTCAAGATGAGCTTGGGGGAAGGAAGGGTTTATTTTAGCTTATAGGCTATAATCAGTTTATCACTGAAGGAAGGGAACTCAAGCAGGCACTTGGAGGCAGGAACTGAGGCTGAGACCGTAGAGAATGCTGCTTACTGGCTTGTTCTGCCTACCTTGTTTAGCTTTGCTGTACACCCCAGGACCACCTGCCCAGGAGTAGCACTGCCCACAGTGTCATAGACCCTCCCACATCAGTCATTAGTCAGGGAAAGGCTTCCTCTTCCCGGATGACTCTAGCTTGGGTCAGGATGGCAACAACCTAACCTGCACATCAATATTACTCGATGATTCAGATTTTTAGTGGACTTTCTAAAGGTATGACATGATGCTTATTTCCTCTTATTTGCAGAGCAAGCCAAGGCCTATAAAGAAGAAGGCAATGATTATTTTAAAGAAAAAGACTATAAGAAAGCTGTGGTTTCATACAGTGAAGGATTAAAGAAGAAGTGTGTAGACCCTGATTTGAATGCTATCCTTTATACCAATCGGGCTGCGGCACAGTACTATCTCGGTAAGTACTAATTATGACTCAATTAGCTCCTTTTCCCGTAAGTATGTGTATATATAGTGGATGGGTGTGTATGTGCAGGGCAAAGGTTAACCTCGGATGTCGTTCTCAGGAGCCATCTACCTTGGTTTTTTTGTTTGTTTTTCAAGACAGGGTTTTTTCTGTGTAGTTTTGGTGCCTGTCCTGGATCTCGCTCTGTAAACCAGGTGGGACTCGAACTCACAGAGATCCTCCTGGCTCTGCCTCTCAAGTGCTGGGATCAAAGTCGTGCGCCACCACCGCCTGGCCTACTTTGTTTTTTGAGACAGAGTCATTGGCCTGGAGCTTTCTGAGAAAGGTCGGCTGGCTGGCCAGCAAGCCATATGAATCCCTTTGTTTCCGCTCCCTCTTCTCCCCTCAGCGTGGAATTACAAGCACAATGCTGTCACAGTAGCATTTTCATGAGGGTCCTGGGATTGTATTCAGGTCCCCATGCTCATACAGCAAGCACTGTACTGACGGAGCCTTCTCCTCAGCCTGACTTTATTATTTCTGAAGAGATACATGTCTCAGCACTTAAGAACACTTGCTCCTCTTCCAGAGAACCTCAAGTTCAGGTCCCAGTACCCGCATCAGGCTCACAACTGCCTGTACACAGGCACACTCCAGCTCCA